ATTTTTCTATATCAGAATTCACTTCAGGATACCTCTTTGCATTTAGTCATCCTATCTTCTAGTATCCTCTGTTATGTGACAATTTTTAGGTCCTTCCATGATTTGGATGACTTTGGCCGTTTTGAGAAGTACTAGTCAGATATTTTGTAGAATGTTCTTCAAATTGGGGTTTTTTGATATTTTTCTCATGCTTAGGTTGGTTTTACAGGTTTGGAGGGGAAGACTACAGTGGTGAAATGCCCTTCTTATTACATCATATCAGTGGTACATGATATCAATGTGACTTATCACTGGTGATTGTTAACATTGATCACTGACCAATGTGGTACTTACCAGGTTAAAATTGCTCAACATAATGATGTATCTGTCCTTTTGTTGTATGGTTAGTTCTTTATATATTTTGGAACTACAATGTTAGATGCATATAGTATTGAGATTATTGTATCTTCCTAATTAATTGAACCTTTTATTATTACACAGTAATGACTTCTGGCAGTCTTTTTTAAATTTAAAATTTACATGTTTGCTATTAATGTAGGTACACTGGTTTTCATTAGGGTTAGTTTTTTTTTTTTCCTTTAGTGTATCTTTCCATTCTTTTCTTTTGAATATTCTAAATTCTTAAATTCTAATGTCTGTTGTAAATAGCTATGTATGAATTTTATTTTTTATACAGAATGACAGTCTTTGTTTCTAATCTGTAGCGTTTAGTTCATTAACATGTACTTTTGTAACTGTTGCTCTGGATTTATTTCGATCACTTATTTAGTGCTTCTCATGTGCTTCACACTTTTTTTTCTTTAGTTTCTTTTGAATTGGTTATATTTTTAAAACACCATTTCACAATCTTTCTTTTCTAACCTTTAGATTACAAAGTCCTTAAAAATTGTAGTTTCCTAGGAATTTCTGAATTTACCTAATTTATCAAATTCTATTTACTTTAAAGAATCTTTTACTTTCCTCCTTAAAATCTTTAAGATTTTAACTTAAATTCTCACCCTCCTGATCAATGCTATCATTATTATTTGTATTTTTTATTTTAGTTTATAACATTACTATTATTGATTTTCTTATCAATAATATTCATTAAGATTTTAAGTCAATATTTATTAAGGTTTTTCGTATTTACCACTTCCCTTATTTTTTTCCATTCATCTCATGTTTGATCATTCTCCTTAAGTTTGAAGTCCATCCTTTAGAAATTCCTCAAGAAAATGTGCTTGGCTGTAAATTCACTCAATTCTATTTTGTTTTAAAATACCTGTAGTTCATACTTGTTCTTAAAAGAGATATACTATATAAAATCCTAGAGTGATAGTTACTTTCTTTCAAAATCATTCAAGATATTTTTTCAATTGTCTTATAGCTTCCAATGTTCCTTCTGAGTAGTCAGCTCTTAATTTAACATTCTTATCTTTGTAGGTCATCTGTCTTTTCTCTCTGGCTCCTTTGAAAATATGCCATTTTAGCTCTGGTGTTTTGACATGTCCCTAATATGTGTATAGGTATAAATGTACTTTTATTTATGCTGCTTGAAATTCATTGGACTTTTTGAATCTGGAAATTGATGTTTCTCAACAGTTCTAGCAGTTTCCTGGCCATTCTCTCTTCAAATATTGCATCTCCTCTATTCATTTTTTCTTCTCCTTCTGGACCTCTGCTTAGATGTACATTAAAACTTTTATCTTTTCCCTCCATGTCACTAAACCTCTTTGCAATTTTTCCCATATCAGCCTCTCCATGCTGCATTAGTGATAAATTCTTTATATCCATCTTTCAGTTCACTAATTCTTCTGCTGTGTATAATCTGCTGTTAAATCCATCTACAGTCTCTACATTATTTCTAGAAGTCCTATTTTTTTCTCCATATATTCTTGATTATTTTATAGTTCTTTGCTAGTTCCTCATATTTCCATTCTTCTCTATATATTATGTATATTATGCATACTTACATTGTGTATATTATGCATAATATTTTTAGGGTTCTACATCTGTGTTAGATTCTGCAGCCTGCTTTTTCTGGAGACTTTAAAACATGGTACATTTTTTCTTTAGGGTTTTGAGATATTTTAGAATAAGCTCATACATATTTTTAAACTTTTAATGTGATAGTATTTTGAGATTTAGTTTGAAGGCAAATTCTTCCAGAGAGATTTTGTACTTACCAACTAACTGTGATCACTTGAATTAAGCTGAATTCTTGGTTTGAAGTTTGTAATTGCCTAGGTAGTTAAAATTAAGGCAGCAAGCCTGGTTAAGGTCTGAATTATTAGGATACATTTTTTCTCTTTCATTAATCACCACATTTTAAGGCATGGATTTATTTTGTGGGTCCCTCCAAAGTAAATGTTTATATCTAATTTATGCTACATTCAGGCAATATAGTCATTGTGATCTAAGCTTTATGCTATGAGTTGTTTATTTATTGAATTCTCCACCTTGTGAGTACTCCCTCACATTTTTTTTTTTTGGTCTCTCATCTTTATGCTCTAAGGATCCATAAATTAATACAACCATTATGGAGAACAGTATGGAAGTTCCTTAAACAGCTAAAAATAGAACTACCATATGATCCAGCAATCCCACTACTGGGCATATACCATGAGAAAACCATAATTCAAAGAGGGACATGTACCACAATGTTCGCTGCAGCTCTATTTACAATAGCCAGGACATGGAACCAACCTAAACGTACATTGACAGATGAATGGATAAGGAAGATGTGGCACATATATGCAATGGAATATTACTCAGCCATAAAAAGAAACAAAACTGAGTTATTTGTAGTGAGGTGGATGGACCTGGAGTCTGTCATACAGAGTGAAGTCAGAAAGAGAAAAACAAGTACCGTATGCTAACACACATATATATAGAATCTAAAAAACAAACCAAAAAAATGGTACTGATGAACCTAGTGGCAGGGCAGGAATAAAGATGTAGACATAGAGAAAGAACTTGGGAACACAGTAGGTGGAGGGGGAAGCTGCAGTGAAGTGAGAGTAGCATTGACATATATACACTACTGAATGTAAAATGGTTAGCTAGTGGGAAGCAGCAGCATAGCACAGGGAGATCAGCTTGGTGCTTTGCAATGACCTAGAGATGTGGGATAGGGATGGTGGGAGGGCGGCTCAAGTGGGAGGGGTTATGAGGATATATGTATCCATATGGCTGATTCACTTTGTTGTACAACAGAAACTAACGCAGTATTGTGAAGCAATTATACTCCAATAAAAACCTATTAAAAAAAAAAGCCCAAGATTAAACTCTCCAGGGTTTACCTCTGTTTGTCTTTCTGGCTTTCCATCTTCAGTTTCTAATTGGTTCTTACTTTTCTTGCCAGGTTATTGGAGCATTTATAAATACGTTTTGCAAATTTTATTCAGTATTTTAAATTATTTTCAGGTAGATGCTCAGTCAGGGTGTTTTAGCTTGCTGTAATGCTGAGAGTGTAAATCTTGTGATTCACAAATAGAAAAAAAGAAGAAAAAAGTACAGCTGAGTTAGAAAAATTAACTGATTACTGACAATGGAGGGATGCTAAAAATGATGTATGTATTTTCTTCAAATGACAGTTATTATCTGCATTGCCACCTGCAGTTGGTGCATATGCAAGTTCTCCCAACACAACCGGTACTGGAGAGCGTCATCTCTTTCAATGACTGATAACTTAAGACATGTAAAATTGCACCCCATTGTTATTTCAGTAAGAATCTTCTTTTTTATTGTGACCAGTCTACTAAATGCTTATCCACTTATTAAATTTTGTCTTGCATTAAAAAAAAGATGTGTTTAATATTCTATGAAAAAACATGCAAAGATAAATTAATTGATCTCTTAGTCATAAAGACCTGGAGAAAATGTCACATACAAACTGGCATAGATTATTGGAGTTGAATCATATTCTTAAGGACAAAAACACTTGTTTGGCTCTAATTCCACAATTTGTAGTTCCTAGGAAAAACAGAAGAGTCTGAGCTATGATTAGTGATAGGACAAAAGAAGCATGAAGTATACCTTTAGAGCATTAGGATTACTCTTTGGAAGCTTCTCTTGGACTTGTCTCTGTATTCCCTCAGGGAAAGCAGGAAACCATACACATACCTTGCATTATCCTAGTGCACTTTGCTCTTGGTGTCAGCTGGAAGCTATATGAGCATAAATATTGCATAGACGTTTAGAAAGAAAATTGGGTGGAAGTTTTGCTTTGCTTAATTTTGCTTACATATTATATGTTTTCCTAATATATTGAGTGCCTGTTATGTATAGATATTTAAATCTGTCGGTTTACAAGAGGTTTATAACATGAATTTTGCTCTTATAGAGCTTATAATCAACTTGGGGAAAGAAGGGTAAAAAATATGTGCTTGTAACAATTTAGTAATAATTAAATGCTAAACCTGTGGTACTGACTTTAATGTCAATAGGAGCACAGAAAAGGCCAAATTTTGTGTAAGGTTGACTGGGATAAGTGTTCCTGGAACAAGTAAAACTTCCTCTGGGGATGTAGAAAGTTTGGGGCAGAATAGGGAAGAGTTTAACACACTATGGTATGCCAAGTTGTGGGAATTGGCACAGAGCAAAAATAAGCCCAAATAAATAACCATGTTGAAGGAAGAAAGAAATATTGAAAACCAAGATTAGGAATATGTTTTAATCACATAATAGAAATCTTAGAAGTCATGGGAGAATATTTTATATTATAGATACTACATTATATTATATTAATTATATATGATAGACAGTGTGAAGCTATTGAAGATTCTTGGGCAAAGGACTGACATGTTGAAAGTGCTCAAAGTTTAGCTTTATCAATAAATGTGGATCTATAGGATAAACTCAAATTCGAAACTAGGAATATATTTTGTTAGAGCCCACCCATTAGTAGTATGCTTTTTGTTTGGTTATATAAAAATAAAATATGTATTTAATATTCATTTATATTATATACTATTAATATAAAATATCATTGTATTTAAGTATGCTTTTTGTTGTTTTAGAGGAATTCCAGGGAAGAAATGTGGTACAATCATCCTTACAGCAGAGGAATTAAACTGTTGCAGAGTAAGTAAATATTTCTTTGAATGAAAAAGTATTTCCAATACTTCTTTGAAATGATAATTCTCAAACTATACTTAAATGATTTTTCTTGAGTAGTTTTAGCAAAAGATAATTAAAACTACATTATATAATTCTAAATTCATAAAATATCATTTTAGATACTTAGTACTTTAACCAGAGAGACTACATTCTATAGTCCAAATAGGATAATCAGTTATTTTAACAGTCTTTTTAATGAATAGAAATTATTAAAATAAAACCTAATGGTAGTATCATTTGGGGGGGCATTAATTTAAGGAATTGTCGATTGTGTCAACCAATTCAGTTCTTGCAAAAATTTGAAGATTTTATGTGTGATCTTGAAGGAATATTTCTAGTCACTTGACTGTAACCATTTTGTGTAACATACTTGTTTTTCTGTATTTCTAATTGAATAAATTCAATATTCATATATGGTCTCATGTTTTCTTAGCTTGGGAAGCTCACATTTGTAGAAATAACCAGCTACCACTCCAGCTAAGAGTATAGTGACATAGAGTGCATATTCATTAATCTTAGAAAACTGCTATTTTTAGTTATGATTTGGTGATCTAATCATCTTTCATACTTCTCGTCTCTGAATTTGTATATGTATATGGTAATCTGTGTTTGTATAATGAGGGAGGAAAGAGAAAAAGAAGTTCAAGGTCAGTAAGATGCATGTTCTTTATTGTGACATTAACATGCTATTCTGTCAAAATCTTGATATTAAGATTATTTTGTATACATATGCTAATGAAGAAATTATTATGAGTTCTAATTCAAAATAGAACCAAGATATCAAGGTCATAGATTGAGTGTTGCCAGGCTGCATCTTAAACATCTTCTGCTTTCAATTCTGTTGTTTTGCCTGGAGGAACAAGAAAATTATAAAGCTTCCATGCAAATGAAGTAGAATATGTTACTTAGTGATCCAGAGGCATTTTCACTATTCTTTATACTAATAAAGTTTTAAAAACATCTGGAATTATCTTTTAATATTACTTATTAATAGTATTAATATTATTTACATATTTCTCACACTTAGAAATTATATATCTAATATTTTTAAATTGTTTAGAATCTTGATCTAACTTCACTTATGTATCCTACGTTCTGATTCTTAGCTACAGACACTGATAATCAACATCATTAAAATAATCATTGAAATAATATTATTATGCTAGTATAGTAGAAGAGACAAGTGTGTTCAAAGCAATGATCATAGTTAACTTCAGACAATGCCTTTTAAATGTGCATTTTATGGTACTTTAAAAATATCATGCATTATCACTTAGAATTTGGAATGAAGTAATTTTATTTCAATTTGACATTATACAAATTGACACTTATTTTCTTGAAAACACATTACCATTTGTTAGCTTGAGCATAAACTTTGGAATCAGGACACCTAAATTTCAGTATTATCTCTTTCACTATTCAGCTGAGTGAAATTTTTTGGAGCTTTAATTTCTGCATTTGTCAACAGCTAAAAGTTTTTATACAGGCATACCTCATTTTATTGTGCTTCACATATATTGCATGTTTTACAAATTGAAGGCCTGTGGCAGCCCTCTGGTGAAGAAGCCTATCAGCACCATTTTTCCAACAGCATTGCTCACTTCTAGTCTCTGTGTCACATTTTGCTAATTTTTGTACACTATCAAATTTTTTCATTATTATTACATTTGTTATGGTGATCTGTGATCAGTGATCTTTCATGTTACTATTGCAATTGTGTTTGGGCACCACAAAATTAATAAATGTGTGTGTGCTGACTGTTGCACCAACTAGCCATTCCCCTGTCTCTTTCCCTCTGCTCAGACATCCTTATCCTCTGAAATGCAGCAATATAGAAATTAGGCCAATTAATATCTCTATAATGGCCTCTAAGCATTTAAGTGAAAGGAATATTCACACATCTCTCACTTTAAATCAAAAGCTAGAAACGATTAAGCTTACTGAGAAAGGCATGTCGAAAGCCAAGCTGAGATAGGCTGAAAGCAAGGCCTCTTGGGCCAAACAGTTAGTCAAGGTTGTGAAGGCAAAGGAAAAGTTCTTGAAGAAAATTTCACATTCTACTCCAGTGGACACACATATGATAAGAAAGCAAAACATCCTTATTGCTGATATGGAGAAAGTTGTAATGGTCAGGATAGAAGATCAAACCCGCCACAACATTCCCTTAAGCCAAAGCCTAATCCAGAGGAGGGCCCTAGCTCTCTTAAATCCTATGAAGGCTAAGAGAGGTGAGGAAGCTGCAGAAGAAATGTTCAAAGCTAGCAGAGGTTGGTTCATGAGGTTTAAGGAAAGAAACTCTGTCCATAACATAAAAGTAGTACAGGTGAATCTGCAGGTGCTTATATATAGAGAAGTTGCAGCAAGTTATCCAGATGTGCCAACTAAGATAATTAGTGAAGGTCACTGCACTAAATAACAGGTTTTCAATGTACATGAAATAGCCTTATATTGGAAGGAGACACAATCTAGGACTTTCATGGCTAGAGAGGAGAAATCAGAGCCTTGCTTCAAAGTTTCAAAGGGCAGGCAGACTCTCTTTGCTTGCAGCTAGTGACTTTAAGGTGAAGCCAATGTTTATTTACCATTTAGAAAATCCTTGGGCCGCTGAGAATTATGTTAAATTTGCTCTGCCTGTGCTGTATAAATGGAACAAAGCCTGGATTATATCACATGTTTACAGCATGGTTTACTGAATATTTTAAGCCCACTGGTGAGACCTACTGCTCAGAGAAAAATGATTCCTTTCAAAATATTACTACAAAGCTACAGTAAACAAGACTGTATGGTACTGGCACAGTAACAGAAATATAGATCAATGGTACAGGATAGAAAGCCCAGAGATAAGCCCACGCACATATGGTCACCTAATTTATGACAAAGGAGGCAAGAACATACAATGGAGAAAAGACAGCCTCTTTAATAAGCAGTGCTGGGAAAAGTGGACAGCTACATGTAAAAGAATGAAATTAGAACACTACCTAACAGCATACACAAAAATAAACTCGAAATGGATTAAAGACCTAAATGTAAGACCGGACACTATAAAACACTTAGAGGAAAATCACTCTTTGACATAAACCACAGAGAGATCTTTTTTGACCCACCTCCTAGAGTAATGAAAATAAAAACAAAAACAAATGGGACCTAATTAAACTTAAAAGCTTTTGCACAGAAAAGGAAACCATAAACAAGACGAAAAGGCAACCCTCAGAGTGGGAGAAAATATTTACAAACAAAGCAACAGACAAAGGATTAATCTCCAAAATATACAAACAGCTCGTGGAGCTCAATATCAAAAAAACAAACAACCCAATTAAAAATTAGGCGGAAGACCTAAATAGACATTTCACCAAAGAAGACATACAGATGGCCAAGAGGAACATGAAAAGATGCTCATCACTGATTATTATTAGGGAAATGCAAATCAAAACTACAATGAGGTATTACACTGGTCAGAATGGCCATCATCAAAAAATCTAGAAGTAATAAATGCTGGAGAGGGTGTGGAGAAAAGGGAACCCTCCTGCACTGTTGGTGAGAATGTAAATTGATACAGCCACTATGAAGAACAGTATGGAGGTTCCTTAGAAAACTACAAATAGAACTACCATATGACCCAGCAATCCCACTACTGGGCATATACCCTGAGAAAACCATAATTCAAATAGAGACATCTACCCCAGTGTTCACTGCAGCACTATTTACAATAGCCAGGACATGGAAACAACCTAAATGTCCAACAACAGATGAATGGGTAAAGAAGATGCAGCACATATATACAATGGAATATTACTCAGCCATAAAAAGGAATTAAATCAGGTCATTTGTAGAGACATAGATGGACCTAGAGTCTGTCATACAGAGTGGAGTAAGCCAGAAAAAAACCCCAAATATCATATATTAACACATATATGTGGAATCTAGAAAAATGGTACAGCTGAACCTATTTGCAGGGCAGGAACAGAGACATAGACGTAGAGAACAGACATGTGGACATGGGGGGAAGGGGAGGATGGGACCAATTGGGAGACTAGGATTGACATATATGCACTACCATGTGTAAAGTAGATAGCTAGAGAGAACATGCTGTAAAGCACAGGAAGCTCAGCTCAGTGCTCTGTGACGACCTAGATGGGTGGGATGGGGGTGGGGCATGGGAGGGAGGTCCAAGAATGACAGGATATAGGTATACATATAGTTGATTCACTTTATTGTACAGCAGAAACTAACACAACATTGCAAAGCAATTATACTCCAATACAAAAATAAGTTAAAAACACAAAACAAAACAAAAACATTATTGCTCATTGACAATGCACCTGGTCACACAAGAGCTCTGATGGAGATGTACAAGATTGATGTTGCTTTCATGCTTGCTAACACAACACTCATTCTTCAACCTGAGGCTCAAGGAGTAAATTCGACTTTCAAGTCTTGTTATTTAAGAAATAATACATTTCCTAAAGCCACAGCTGCCACAGATAGTGATTTCTCTGATGTATCTGGGCAACGTCAATTGAAAACCTTCTGGAAAGGATTCACCATTCTAGATGACGTTAAGAACATTCGTGGGGAGAAGCCCAAATATCGACATTAACAGGAGTTTGGAAGAAGTTGATTCCAACCCTCACAGATGGATGACTTTGAGGGGTTTAAGACTCCAGTGGAGGAAGTAACTGCTGATGTTGTGGAAATGGCAATAGAATTAGAAGAGTAAGTGGAGCCTGAAGATGTGACTGAATTGCTGCAATCTCATGATAAGACTTAAACGGATGACAGGTTGCATCTTATGGATGAGTAATGAAAGTGGTTTCTTGAGATGGAATCTACTGGTGAAGATGTTGTGAAGATTGTTGAAAGGACAACAAAGGATTTAGAGTATTACATAAGCTTAGTTGACAAAGCCACAGCAGGGTTTGAGTGGGTCGACTCTGATTTTGAAAGAAGTTCTAACTATGGGTTAA